CATGGGTCCCGACCACTGGCCCACTACAGCCCCGGCCCTTAGAAGGACGTCGGGTCTGGGGGTTCCAGGGTCCTCGCCGAGCTGGTCTTCTTTCTTCAGCTTGACGAAGACTGCCGGACTCGTCCAGAGGTCCGGCTTTTATACTCGTGCCAGGGTCTCTCCGCCCCTGGCCATGGCCCTCCTTCTGGAACTCTTTAGGGGGCTCTGGAATATCCCCCAACTCCTCTGTTGGGGCTGGGAGAACCTAGTGTCCCAACGGCCCGACTCATCCTACCCATCCTGAGTTACCACCCCCTATGGACGCATGTCTGCTACTACAGGTGAGTATATACAATGCCTAACGATGACGCTATATATAATGCTTGTCATGACGCTACACAAGCATTCGCTTCAAACTAGAAAAAAACATCTCCGTTGTCGAAATAACCAAGCGCAAGTGGCCAGCAAGCACACAGCACTATCGGAGCTGTACTGGATAAGTGAATGCGTGTCCTGGGTTGAGCAAGGTATTGAAGCAATAAGAGCTCATTCTTGTGTGCGACCGCTGTGCGGCGTTTCCACAACGTTCTCGAGCACGCTCTCATCTCACCCCCGGTGCTGGATCCACTGCATTCCCACCAGCCCATCTTGTGGTTCTTGGCTGTGGCCATTCCTTCCACGGTGGCTTTCTTGAGGTAGTTTGCTCATCTCCTCACATTAACATAGCCACCTATGTGCCGTCTTGGGACGGCGTCCTCCGATCTTACATGAACATGCTAATCTCTCACATTAACATCACTAGCCCTGCCCACTTGTTATGACCCTTGGGCTACACCCATTCTAAACCTTTAAAATAGTCTTCCTCAGCAGCTTTACTCTTTTTTCCTCCTGATGATGAGCGCTTGTGTTGTGATCGAAACGTCATAGTTTTTTCTTTCAACCTATCTACGTGACTTTACCGAAAGAGCCAAGATATGAATTCCTGCAGTCACGAAAGCTCTTCCCGCTCTCTCTCGGTTGCCAATGGCTTTGCTCACTTCAAGAAACCTCTTCCACCACTCTTTATCCATTACAACTTTGTGAGTCTCTTTGATGCTGGCCGCTTAACGTTTTACTCCTTAAGGCCCATTTTGCTCCGGCGACTGTGTACAAAACTCGAGCAGACGCTTTTTAAACGTGCAGTGGTGACACCACGGCCCTGGTTGATGCAGCACGAGCAGTCACCCCGCTCACTGCTCGTTACAGAGGGTTGGCAATTTCAAGCTGGCCGGCCACCACGGTCAATACCGCGGTGCATATCGACCGCAAAATGCTCCTCGATGTCCACTTCACAGTGGACGTTAAAGATCCGTAACGTCATTTGAAGACCGTTCAATAACCTAGGCCATTGTTTGCCGGAATCACCGTCAGAATTTAAAGATTATTATTCTTTGGGTCTTTCGATACAGTCACGTAGATGGCTCAAAGAAAAAACTAAACTAGAACATTTCGATCACAACACAGGTGATTATCATCAGAGGAAGGAAAGCTCCTGACTGTTTTATAGGGTGTAGTCCTCGGGTCATAACAAAGTGGGCGGGGCTAGTGATGTTAATGTGAGAAATAGCATGTTAATGTGAGAGATTAGCATGTTAATGTGAGAGATTAGCATGTTAATGTGAGATGAGCATGTTAATGTGAGAGATTAGCGTGTTAATGTGAGAGATAGCATGTTAATGTGAGATGAGCATGTTAATGTGAGAGATTAGCGTGTTAATGTGAGAGATTAGCATGTTAATGTGAGATGAGCATGTTAATGTGAGATTAGCATGTTAATGTGAGAGATTAGCATGTTAATGTGAGAGATCAGCATGTTAATGTGAGAGATTAGCATGTTAATGTGAGAGATGAGCATGTTAATGTGAGAGATGAGCATGTTAATGTGAGAGATTAGCATGTTAATGGGAGAGATGAGCATGTTAATGTGAGATCGCAGAGCCACCACGACATAGAGGTCAGCGTCCGTAGGTGGCCACGTTGGCGCAAGAAATTCAACTTGTTGATGTGAAATTGGAGAGCCGAAGCCACGGGGAACATCACAGCCAGTTATGACTTAAACTAGCTGATAACGTCCTTCCAATTATTGCCACGTTGAACCCCCTTCTAAGTTTCAATTGTGTCTGTGTCTGTATTTATGTGTAATGGGCCCAACTGAGTCCGCAGACGTACGTCTTAGAGTCAAGACATTTATTACACCAACACGAATACACAAAGGGGTAGCTGGCCCCTTTACCAGATAACAGCCTAGGGTGGTGCACCACCTGGCTAACTACACTAACACACGGGGAGTTAGCTACAATGGACCGGACCCCGGCTCGGGTTCCGGACCAAGTGTTAGAGACTCTTCTGGATGTAGAACGTAGATCTTCAGATGACGGTAGCAGCAACGAACCCCCGGTCCCTGCGGTGACCCGGCTTACATGCTCCCGGGCCGGGGCCGGCTCCGCCCTTGGCCCCAGCCCACCTTCGAGAGAGCTCTGGCTCTCTCTCGACTCTTCTCGAGACAACTTTTCCCCGGACACGTGACCACCCCTTAGTCCCCACTTGGGGGCCCGCTGTAGACTTTACCGGTCACGTGCCTTTGGGGTCAACCAGATGCCATGGCCCAGTGTAACCCTGTCCCTGGCTGACACTCTCCCACTCCCTCCGGTGGAGACAGCACTGCACGCCATGCGTGTGCCACCAAGCCCTCACTAGGGCTGGTACTACACCCACCTATGGGGTGTCCGCGATGACGGTGCATCCACGCCGTGCCTTGCTAGAGCTGGCATTACTTGGTGACATGCACGATGCTACTACATATGTGGTGTCTGCGATGTGAGTACATAGCACGGCCTGCACCATACAGTGACATCCGCGATGTCACTACATATGGATGGCTTCATGAACGAATCTTTGTTGATAGTCAGTGGGTTTGCAAAGTACCTTCGTCTTAGAGAAATCAATTTCGTGTGAGCCCACCGCATTAAAACATGATCAGCCACGGCTAAGGTATTGGTCCTACAGTGTTTCAGATCTGCCTTATGTTCACGAACACGGTCTGATACATGTCGCTTAGTTTCCCCAATGTAACTACTGCCACAGACACAGCTTATTTGTAGACGCCGGGGTATTGCATATCAGGGATCACATCCTTCACAGATGGGATCAGATCACGAATTTTACGTGCTGTGTTAAATTGAACCTGGATCTTGTGTTTGTTCATGATTTTGGAAATCTTTTTGGTGACCCCTGATATGTATGGCAAGGTGATGGTTTTGATTGTGGTCCTCATATGGTTATTTCCCAATAAGTTGGGGTGATAGCTTTACGGATTGTGTAGTCTGAATATCCATTCATCTTGAGAGCTTGGTGTATGTGCTCCAGCTCACTGGCTAGGTGATGATGGTCGAACATGCATCGAGCTCTATGGTGTAGAGATTTCATGAGGGAATTCTTCTGAGATGGATGGTGGTGGGAGTCCGGTTTTATGTAGCATCCATATGGGTGGCTTTCCTGTCGACAGAGTGTCCCATTGAGCCATCTGGTCTCTTTTCGATTAAACATCCAAGAATGGTAGCTTACCATCCTTTTCCACTTCCATGGTGAATTTGATGGCTGGGTGTATGGAATTGATGTGGTTGAGGATTGGTTTCAGAGCTGGTCGGCCATGTGGCCAGATGACGAATGTGTCATCTATGTACCTCTTCCACAAGGACGGACGTAGAGTGGATGCCTGGATGGCACCTGTCTCAAACTTTTCCATGAAACATTGGCTACAACTGGATATAAGGGAGAACCCATTGGGGTACCTTCAACTTGTTTGTAGAATGTTACATTCCAGGTGAAGTAAGTGTTGGTGAGGCAGTGTCTCACCCGGGTCGGTACATCAGCATTCAGTCTTTGTTGGACCAAATCTTCAATGATTGCAACGGTGTCAAGCACAGTAACTTTGGTAAACAAAGAGAATACATCGAAACTCACGAGCAAATTACCTGGAGATAGTGATATGTCCTTAATTAACGATACCAAGTGAGCTGAGGTAAGTACAGCTGAGGTGGTCTACCAGTGAATGGTTGTAAGGTTTCAGACAGAAATCAGGCCAGTTTGTAGGTGGGTGAGTCAATGGTGAAGACGATAGGACGAAGGGGTGTACCTTCTTTATGATTTTTGGTAAGCCATACAATCTGGGTGGTCTAACAGCAGAAGGTTTTAAGGAAAACCGCGTGGTTGGTTCGATTAAATGTCGAATCGGTGATGATATTGTTGGTATTCGTAACGAGGCTATTGGTGGTATCTCTTTTAATTTTGTATAGCTACCATCATTAAGTAGGTCCTGAATGCTGTTATTGTGTGTGGCTTTGTCCATGATAACTGTGGCATTGCCCTTTTCGGCTGAGAGGATGACGATGTCATCTCTCTTTTTTATTTGAGACAGCTCAAAGCGTTCTTCGTTACTGACGTTGCTGATAGGTGTCTTAGCGTTGTTGAGGATTGCTGCGATTTCTGATCCGGCCACGTCTGCAGTGATGTGTCCCAAACCCTTAAGGGCTACATCGACCTGGGCAATGATATCAACCACTGGGATGGCTGCGAAATTCAACCCTTTAGCTAGAACCGATTTTAGGCTGCCAGAAACTAGACTGTTACTCTGGTTGATATCAATCTTGTCAATGTCTATTTTCTTTACGTGTGAATCTGGCTTCTTCTTGGAAATGAGGTTGAACTTGTAAATCAGGTTATCTTTGCATTTAGCTGACATTGAGGCAGCTGAAGAGGCTAACATGTAACCTACATGTTCCCATTCAGATGTAGACATTTTTTCTGTCAATGTTAAGTGTGATTTCAAGAGAGTCTTGTCTAAATATCTAGTTCAATCGGAGCAATCTTATTCTCTCTGAGATCAGGGCTAAGCCGGCCCTGAACAAGATCCGTTTAGCATTAGGAGATGTGATAGCAGCAATGTCAGTGTAAAGGCGATCGGTATTACCTTTGTGTCGCGGCATCTGTTCAGAAATGTGAGCGACTCGATCAGATGAGCCTTCTTGTCTCGAAGTTTGTTAAAAGGTCTAATAGTTTTGTGAAAACCCTCCACGTTGAGGCGGTTAAATCTTTAGTTAAATATTCATATTCTTAGGTTTTTTCGGTAAAGTCACGTAGGTAAAACATTTAAATTAATAAAAGTAAAATAAAACATAAAAAAATTCACGACGTTTCGGAAGCAACACAAGCCTCCGTCTTCAGGTGGAACCGTCACAGCCACGACAGCTGTATCAAGTAAATGAGAGATCACAAGAAATACTACCCCGTATATATAATGGTTGAGGGGGGAAGGGCCAGGAACGGCACACTTTTTTATTAATATGGTAAGGTGAGGCTTAAGACCAAGAGTAGACTGCATAACAAAGGACTGAGCCTTTGTTATGGAGAGGTGCGGTTTGTAACTAACACCTAGCATACATAACAAAAGTGTGAAAAAAGAAAGCAAGTAAAAACTAAAACTGGTAAAACAACAAACTGGCTGTCTATCAATAACCTGTAATAGTTGTCTGTCAAAACAAAATTTTTAATTTGTTTTATTTTACTTTTATTAATTTAAATGTTTTACCTACGTGACTTTACCGAAAAAACCTAAGAATATCAATCTTTAGTTAAAGCTGTCGTGACTGCAGGAATTGATATTCTTTAGGTCTTTCGGTAGAGTCACATAGATGGTTCAAAGAAAATAACAAAAAGCTGCGACGTTTCGATCACAACAGAACCGAAAGACCCAAAGAGTATGAATTCCTGCAGTCACGAAAGCTTTAAGTCAAGATTTAATTTAAAGATTATTTGAAAATTACATATCACTGTTTCTGTGTCGCCACGTCCCCGTGTTGCCCATGACTCCCATGTCCTGCGTTGCTGTCTCCACTTCCCCCTTGTCTCCATGTGTCCCAGCCTCAGTGGCCTCTCTCCATTCCTGGGCGAAGATGAGAGTGAGACACTGAACAACATCGTTACCTCCAACTGGGAGTTTGATGGGGAGGTGTTTAGCGAGGTGTCTGAAGACGCAAAGGACTTCATTACGAACCTCCTTGTCAAGGGGAAGGGGTGAGTGTGCACGTGCTCGTGTGCACGTGTGTGCGTGCATGTGCGCGTTTGAGTGTGTGCATGTATGCGTGTCCGTGTGTGTGTCCATGTGTCCGTGTGTGCGCGTGCAGGCGTGTGGGCGTATGCGTGCATGCATGTGTGCGTTCCAGTGTGCCTGTGCACGTATTCGCGTGCATATGTGCGTTTTGAGTGTGTGCGTGTATGCATGTCCGTGCGTTTACGCGTGTCTGTATGTGCACGTTGTATGCGTGTCCATGTGTGCGCATGCACACTTGTGCGCTTATACGTGCATGAGCGTGTGCAATCGAGTGTGCCTGTGCACGTGTGCGTGGGTGTGCGTGCTCGTCTGCATGGTCGTGGGCATGTGTGTGTGCGTGTGTTTGAGTTGAGGCAGTGTTGTCCGGCCGGGTGGCTTAGTGCTTGAGCGAGGGGGTTGACTCAGGCCATTATACTTTGGGGTCAATACTCTAAATGGGGAACCGCTTTGTGGATAAGTCACCAGTGATTGTTCTATGGATAGACTCGTGCCTGCCATAGGAATTCAAGAGGTGAACGCTGACAGCTGGTGTGTGGTGCAATACATGCCCATATAACCTCGTGGTTTAACCCACCACATTACATGTGTAGTGAGTTCAACTGAGTCGCAGACGTAGACTTGGAGGCAACACATTTATTTAACTCCAACACACGGGGTAACTTCCCTTAACAAATAACAACTTATGGTGGTGACCACCAGGCTAACTACACTAATTACAACATCACTAGCTACTACGGACCGAGACCGCAGCTCGGGTCCGGGTCCACGTGTTGGAGACTCGTTGAGCGGAGAACGTAGACGAAGGTTTTTTCAGGATGAACAACAATGCCTGTCCCTCTGGGGACCCGACTTCTATTCTCTGCGGTGTGTCTGCCTCCGCCCTTTGCCACGACCACCTTCCAGAATCCTCGGGAAGAATCTGGGTCCCAACCACGTGACCACCCCTAGCCCCCACTTGGGCCCCTTTGTAGACTTAACTGGTCACGTGTCCTCTCGGGTCAACCAGAGTGCCATGGCCTTTAGTAACCTCATTCTTACGGCCAGCACTCCCACACCCTGTCCTGTAGGGCTGGCACTGCATGCCAAGCGTGGTGCCATCCAGCGCTATCAATCAGCGCTCACCAGGTTCCTCTAGGGCTGGTACTACACCCACACCATTGTGGTGTCCACGATGTCCTTACACCGCACGCCGTGCCTCTCCAGGGCCGGCACTGCACAGTGACATCCCGCGATGTCACTACACATGTATCTGGATTTTTCATAAATTCACAAAACCATGCCAGCTCTCAGCTTAAAAATCGAGAGAGGTAGGAAGAGTTTAGACATCCTAATCACCATAAGATAACAATCGGCACTGATGATGGAAGTGATGAGGAATTGAACTATTTGCGCTAACTGCTGCACTACCACTCTCTTTATCAGGTGGCGGCTGAGTGCCAAGGGGGCCTTGCAACACCAATGGCTTCTGAAGAGCAACCTGCACAGCCGCCTCACCAAACAGGTGTGCCTGCCCAGAGACACCCGGGTAACACCCGGACACACCTGAGTAACACCTAGGTACACATGGGTATACCTGGGCACACCCAGGTTATGCCTGGGCACACCCGGACACACTTGGGTACATCTGAGCACACGTGGACACACCTAGATACACTTTGGTAACACCCTGACACACCTGTATAACACCAAGAGACACCCAGGTAACACCTGGATCCACTTGGGTAATGCCTGGAGACAACTGGGTACACCTGGGTAAAACCTAGATACACCTGGGTACACCTGGGTACACCTGAGTGTACCCGGATACACCTGGGTACACCAGAATACACTCGGACACACCCAGAAAATACCTCAGCCATGGTCAATCCACTGTTGGATGAACTCTTCCCTAACCGCTACAACCTTTCACGACACTTCGATGTAACGATCCATCCCAACACCGGCACATGAACTGATTTCATAGCACCATCTCCTCGGCAAGTGTCCTCTCGGGCGCGCTCAGCTCCTGGCGGCTCCTCTGTTACTATTCCGGATTGTTCGGCCATCGTACCTTCTCGCCATGACCGGTCTCCTCGGTGGGACGATGTCTCTAACCTGCCTGCGTTCTCTAATCCACGTGCTCCTCTCTCTGTCTCTCGGTGTAAGTTCCAAGCACGAATCTCCCCATTTTGATTCTTTGCACACTTTTACATTTTCGTTCGATGTTTTTTGTTGTTTTTATTTTTTAAACTTAAAAGTACGTTGATGCTCTCCTATACACTGTCTTCGTTCACGTTTGTCATTTCAGCTGCAAGGGAAGAGGGGGTCTCTGACTCAAGCCACATTGCCGGTGTTTCCCAGAAGCCTGACCCCTTAACACAACCATCTGCTCAGGTCCTTGCTCTCATCAGCAACACAAGCACATCTTCTTGGTTTTTTCGGTAAAGTCACGTAGAAGGGAAATAATAAAATAATAAAAATAAAACTAAATAAAATAATTCTCACGACGTTTCGGCCACAACGCAAGCAGCCGTCCTCAGGTGAAGAACAGGTCTGTCGGAAAGACAGCGTCTGAATGGGCACCACCAGGCTTGGCAACGTATATTTAAGCTGGGTTGGAGGGGGGAAGGGGCGCCTTGACAAAGGAATTTGCATATCAAGAGGAATTTAGCATATTTATGGGAAATGCAGATATGGGATTAGTCACTACTTGTGGAATGTGTAGGAGGTGGGTGGGGGGGGGTTTCAAAGTCATATTATGCCCGTGCATTATGCAGTATGCAGGATTACAATTCAGTGGGCTCACATGACATTGACTTCTCCAAGACAGAGGTTCTCTGAAAGAACCAAGAAGATGAATCCCTGCAGTCACGAAAGTTTTAAATCGAAACAAGCACATCTTTCGCATGGATCTTGCAATTTCCCTCTAGACTATATAATTAACAGTGAACGGGAGGGGTCTGTCTCTCCGGAGCCGAGGTGCGTATGTGTCCATGTGGCTCTCTCATGCGGCTTCTCCGTTCCTTGTGCCTTCCAGCCAAAGAGTCGCGTGGAGGACGGCCTGTGTAGCATCACGCAAGCCTCGGATTCACCGAGACCCGAGGACTTGCATCACGACCCGGAAACTTGCATAAATTTACACGGACCCATAGATTGACATATAGACCCATAGATTTATATAGAGACCCATAAAACTTACATAGATAACCATAGATGGATTGGTGGCAGAGTGATTAGCTCACTGCACTATGGACCTAGCAAATTCAGTTCGATTTACAACTATGACTAACATCAGTGGTAACATAATATAAACACATTATTGATTAATTAAAATTACAATACATAAGAGGGATGAAAATCTGATATTACCGATATTAAAAAGACATAGACATACAGAGATACCGATAGACTTCATAGATATCCACAGACTCAGAAGAAACCTGTAGACTGGCGAGACCTCATAGACTTACACAGAGACCCATGGGCCTGCCTTCACGTCTCTTCAGCATCCAATGTCTGGGTCAGAATGTGTTTTGTAATGTAAAACAAATGCAATATAATTCCATGTGAGAGGAGCAAGGTGGTACAGCCAGTAGGCTGTCGATGATTTGCGTGTGTTTGAATGTTGTACACCGATGGCAGCAAAGCGCCGTATGGGTCAGGATCCCCGTACGTCACCATTGCCGTTACATCCCTGGACAGCCTTGGTCAAAGTGGCCTTCAAGCCCTCTCCACTCAAACCACTTGCGGTGTGCGGTGACCGCGTGCGCGACGCGGTGTTGGTGACTGCACACTCCCCTGTTCACGAGAACACGTCCGCAAGTGTTGCCGTGTTCGAGGCGAATCGTAAGATGTGTGGGTTGCGGCTGCTGGCTCGTTCAGACCGGTTTCGTGTTATTTTCTGTATCTGCACCATCGTACCGTAGTTCGTCGTCGTGTAACAATGGCAGCTCAGCGGTCGACCGAGCGGCTCGGGTCAGAAGGTTGCGAGTTCAAAATGTTTGGGCTGTGACCATCTAGTCCAGTGTTTTCGACTAGTTTTCAGAGGGGGGGCCACTTTTGCCAATAAGACATCATCAGTGAGAGGGCCGCCACATTTGAAACCATTGGGGGTTTGCCAGCAGCACGATGACGGGGGGTGTTGTCACGTGTTGTGTCTTGTTGGGGGCCGCACTAAAGGCCACCAGGGATCGCCAGTGGCCCACGGGCCTTGCAATGAAGAACACCGGTCTAGCCCCTTTATCAGAAACCCAGTTTCTTGCTCTGCTTATTTAGCAAGTTGGGATTTGTTGTCATTGCAGCCCTGATATGTGTTTTATTCATTGTATGTGCCAATGTGTTGCTGTGATTGTGTTGTAATTGTGTTTATGCATGAAATGTGATTGGGCAGGGAGCCGAACTACAAACACCGCCTTCTGTGGTTGTCAATAATAATACTGATGATGACGATGTCCTTGGTTCATCCAGGAACGACTTGTATTGTACTTGAATAGGCTCCATGGCTGACACCATGGGGAGGGCTTCATACAGCAGTGGATTGAAATAGCAGTAGACAGTACTGTTATTCAAGTGGTCTTGACTCAAACGAACAAATAAATAGGAGAGCTAAGCAATATAAACCCTTTTCCGAAGCATCTCAAGATCAGGTCATGATGTGTTCATAATAAGCCCACTCATGCAGCACTCGTGTCAGTAGACTACAGCTGCAGCCCTTTTGCCAATCCACCGCTGGATGAAGGCTCCCCACTCTGTGTTGCTCATAGGGGTGGTTTGACCATACATCACCACAGTGGTCAGTGCAGATTGAAAATAGGAGTCCAGGGCAGCTTCAGATATCACTCATCACATGTTAGCCGTGGCTGGCAGTCAAACCGAGGTAGCCACCTCTCCATGAATCATAAGGATACAATGTTATTGACAAAATTGAATTAATTTATCTTCCAATTGTGAACCAAGTGGCTTTCCTGGGTAACATATCATGATTGTTGTATAAAGAAATCCCCCCTGGTGAAGGATTTGCTTGTGTTGGTGAGATCGTTCACTGGATCACGAGTGCGTCTGTGCACGGAACTTAGTACCCTGTAGAACGTGGAATGGACGTGGCTCTAGGCACCAACATCGTGGCCACTCGAGGCAACGCTTCATGCGTGTCCTGTAGAGGCGCATCTTTAACAGAAACAGTGTTCTCATGGTCCTGTTCTCTCGTTTACCGAGTTTCACAACTCGTGCGAGGCCGCGTGTCCACAAGCGTCCTGCTTGTGTTTTTTTGAGTTGTGTCTTATTTAAGCATAGTTATACAGATGTTCACGTCAACATTGTCAAGGGGAGTTATTTATCACGATAACGCTGGGGTAGTGTGGGGTCCCTGTTGTGGGCCAGTGTGCGAGTTTCCCTGTTGGTGTCGTGCCGTGTGGCTGTGTCGATTTGCATGCCCCGAATTCTATAGATGTCATATTTTGCGTGCTATTTTATTGAATTTGGTTGATTTTTTGTTTCAAGTTTTCCTTCTGTGAAGGTTTTTAATCAAACAATTCTGAATGCTATTTACAAACCGTACACATGAACGCATACATATGTGCATCAACATGTCCACCTTATGCACACGCACCGCATACGTACATGCACTTGTATCGGAGGTCATGAGTGGTAACTGATGCTAATGTAATACATGACACAAAATCATAATGCTGGAGAGTTTATAAGTAACAAAATACAAAAAATGTACACATCCCATCAGCCACACGATCCAATGGAAGTCCATCATTTGAGCAGCATTGGTTCAACACAAGCAAAATTTAGACCGATTTTTCATATTCAGTTTATGGGCAAGGGTCCTCTGTTAGTTCTGGTCTTTGTGAGTTTTTGGATATTCGTTTGAACAATGTGATGTATACTGGCCAGGGGTCGGTAAAACAAGCTCAATATTTAAAGAGCCGCAATGCATGTGAATACAAAGACGGCCCTGAATGAATCACGTCAAACCATGTATTTTTTATTAATCACTATTTTAAGAACAGCACACGCACAATAACTTGTCGCATTTCAAATAATTGTTGGGCTTTTAGACGTTCACCATTTATCGAAAAGAATTAGGAGGGTGTTTTTACTTTGCATTATTGTGTCGAGAGCCACGAAGTAGTCCTCAAAGAGCCGCCGCACGCGGCTCCGGAGCCACAGGTTGCCCACCCCTGATGCAGGCGAATAGAAAGTTGGCAAATCTCAAGCAACTACTGTTTCACACATGCTAACACGCTTACACACGGACAACAGGTGATTTTGCTCACACACATATACATTTACACCAGCCTGTAGCTGTACTTGTTGATGATATGGACAGGAGTATTAGCAAAAGTGCAATCTTTACGTTGTTGCTTTGCACCATTACATATTTTCACGTTAATTTATTTCTAATATCTGTGATTATATGGATCCCCGTCAAACAAATGTGCAATTTCCATCAGCTGATGGCTCGGATGACTGCATTTGTTTCAAATGAAACGCGTTCATTTTTCATAACCTAAAGAAATTTCACAAAGTGGCTTATGGAATTCATTTGTACAAAATAGTGAAGTTTTTTTTAATACACAAAGGTTATATGCCGTATTTGGAATGTTTAAACCACTTATCTCCCCAGGAGATACGCATGGGTCAAAACAGTAGACAATAGGCATGCATAAATGCGGACAGCTCCGTCTCCCCACTTTGGCAAAGTTGTTCTGGAGATCTCACTCTTGCCGCTTGGCCGTTTCCAAAGCTCCAGGAGAACGGAGAGAGGGTGACCCCTGCCGAGTGGCTCAGCGGCAGGGCAAGCAGCTCTCAGCCAGAAAGTCGCGAATTAAACATCCGGTTGGTTGGGGGGGGCGGGGGTTGACTCAGCCCACAATCCTTCCAGGGTCGAGAAAATGAGATGCCACACTTTGTGTGGAAGGAAGTTAACAATGATTGTCCTACGAGAGACTCTGAATGTGGATTTCCACCACGGCTCAGGGCTGTGAATAGGAGATGAGCGCTGCCTCAATTCACGTGAGCAGCAGGACACCACTTTGACTTTTTTTTTGCGAAAGTCCATTTCCAAAAACTTCAGAATCATCGCGACTCACTCAGCCCAGGGCTGCGCACGGTGCCTTAGATGCGGGTGGGACCGTTTGCTGGGAAATGATGTAGCCAGCAAATGGTGGCTTCTGTTGAATTGTAAATTAAAAGCGACCTGGATTGCTTGTCCCGCGAGTCTGTGTCGTGTGCTGTGAGGGTCGGGATCATCGCCCCCCAAACGCGACATTGCAGAAACTCCTGATTTTGCCAAAAACTCGAACCTCCTCTGAAGAATGTCCGTGACCCCGGAGAGCCACACGGCTGCCACTGAACACGAGCCACGAGTCCGCTCCAGCTTGGGGTTCTCCACATTTAGTCGCCTCAACCTCTCCTCCTGAATTGGTCACGGTCTAATATAAAGCACAAGTAAATAAGAGTAGCACAGTCCTCTACCTACGAACATAATTCGTTCCCGCGACGCGCTCATAAGTAGCACTGTTCGTAAGTCGAAACGGGCTCATGTACTGAATTTAAACGCCCACACTCACTCCCAGCGCGAGGCCGACTCGTTACATCTCGCGGAGAATCGCTCAGCTGAACAAAATAGTGCCGCGGTTTAATATGCGAGCTAGAGTTCGCGTTTTCATGGAAGTTGTGTGGTGGTCATGCTGGGACACGCGAGCGCCAAGCCACAGTACTTACTGGTGCGGGGTGCTTGTGTTACCCCCCGTCCGGAATCCGCCAAGGGGAGGGGGCTGTGGGGTGTGTGTGTGATCCCACAGAACCCCGCCTCTCGGTGGGGAGCGGTATAAACCGGTGCGGACCGGTTGGGTTACCCATGGCCAGAACCCCTTCGAGGGGAGGGGGCTGGGGGATGCGTACGATCCCACAGAACCCCGCCCCTCGGTGGGGAATGGTATAAAAGGCGGGATCTTGAGAGCAGAGGGCAGTTCGCCTCAAGCCAAAGCAAAGAAGCCGCCTGAAGACAAGACCCTGGACCCCAAGCACCGACGTCCTTCTCAGTGCGGTGCCAGTGGTCAGGAGGCTAGGACCCTGAGGATCCCTCAGCCCGACGTCATTTTAAGGGCCGGGTCTGGATGGGCCAGTGGTCGGGGACCCACCGAGCCAGTGGTGGGTCAGCCTCCCCTAGGTCCAGCTAGCCGGAGGGCCATAGGAGCCATTAGCCCGGTGGCTAGGATACATTAGCCCGGAGGCTGTACCTCCCTAGGTCGTGGGTGGAAGGGGCCGTTACCCCTTCGTGTTAGGGATCTAGTTGTGTTACTGTGATAGTTATAAATAAAACGTGTTGCCTCCTACGACGACTCTGTCTCCATACAAGACTGCTACAGTTTTTATCGCGAGTGCGGGTATTCATAAGTCGGGAACTATGTACAACTTACGCAAAAGTCTAGGTTGCTTTTGTTTCAAACAATGGACCTCAAAAAACTAATTCCAGAGTAAGTATCAAGGGCAAGAGAAAACAAACTGTTTGCTTGCAAAGAGCGATGCTCGAGAATAAGGAAGGATTTCCAAGGGGCCACAGAGCAAGTCACACGAACAGGACGAATGGTAATGGTGGTAAGAGTAGACTTGCTCGGTTAATGTTGTGGCGACTTGAAGTTAAACGACTTCAAGCGAAACCAGGTTCCAGGGAGATATTTTATTCACCAGCTGAAAACCATTACAAATGCAGTACCATTTAAAAAGATATTAAACACACAATTTGATAGAAGAGTGAGTTTTAAGACATTTCATGAAAAAAATAGTTTTCTGTACTCGCTAACGATGATACGGAATCTTGACTTAAAGCTTTCGTGACTGCAGATATCTCCGTGGCTTTACTGAAAGACCCAAAGAAGATGATGCAGAAGCTTGGTGGAATGCGATGCATGAGTGAACGGTGGAGTCAGAGAGTGAACGTGGTGGATCGTCCGGCCGCTGCTCTCGTTGCTGTTGCGGAGCTCTCCCCCCACATGTACTGCCCGCTCGGTCGGTGCGGTGCTCTTAATCTCACTGTCGTTGGCGTGAGGCTTCGAGCGATGCCAAATAACCTATTGCGCATTCCCCTTCATCAAAACGACTTAACCCGCCTAATTTAGTTTCCAACGTTATCTTATTAGTTTTCTTATTTTGCATGAGCTGCACTAACACTGTATGGGCGTTCTTGAATCACGGTGATGAGAGATAAATGTTGATAAATATATCAAGGGATTTAAACAAGAGAACGCAACACGACCTAAACACTTTTGAAACTGTGCGGAGGGGTTTCGCTTTGGGCCCGCTGTGCGTCGCTCTGTCATCCGGGGGCGTTGCCGAGCCACTCACTGTGCCGCACAGCCGCCTCGCTCTCCGCAGTGGAAAGTACAGTAGCTGCCCGTTCGTAGCGACGTTATAGATCGGATACCGCGCGACGTTAAGTGCAGAGATGGGTCGTAGTTCATCACTGACTTTGTAGAAAAACAACGTTCAACGGGCCGACGTTAAAAAAGGAGTGACGGCTTAGTCTGGTTACATTTTTATCAACGCAGTGGAAGTCCGTGTCCACAAGAGGGCAGGCATCACGTCACCGCGCCCTGTATCGCAGACATACATTAAAGCGGGAGCGTCTCGTCATCTTTTTTACCCCCAAAAATCACCAACATCCTTGAAAATTGTCTATCGATAAAATAATTTTAAGTCGAATGCGGAACCCTAACAATAACTCGGTGCTGTATTACCACGTAAACATGCAGTCCTCGACTTATATGATAGATTTTTGACATTTATTTAATTTAACTCGCACTTGGAAACTCAACCGCGTAACTATTTTGTTCAGTGGAGCAATCATCCGTGAGATGTAATCAGTCAGCCTTGCGCTGAGAGTGAGTATTTGTGTGTGCAGCCGCGTGCGTGTGAAAGTAGTGAAGCCAGAGACCCACAGACTCGCAGTTCCCCAGACACACACAAACACAGAGACTCACAGTCTTATAGACTCACACGCAGAAGCACGAGTAACCACAGACAAGTGGGAAGGCAAATTCCGGGCCTTGAGTCGGGGCAAACAATTGCCTAATATCCGTGGTCCTCCAAGTTTCCAGCCAATGATTAAGTGTTCATACATGTGTAGGGGTGTCAGGGGAAGGATTCCCACCAATAGGAGGGTTAGTGGGAGGGGTGATCGAGGAGATATAAGGGGAGAACGGGCGGGAAGAGGGGGCCATTGGCGGGAACGAGATTGGGACGGCGGGGGACAGGTGTGGATGGTAGAAAAGGATTAAAAGACGAAACCCCTGCAATCTTGTGTCGGCTCTCCTTTACATCTGGTGGCAGCGGTGGGATGAACAATGACTACGAAGAAGAATCCCCGCGGAAAAGAGCCAAGAGAAGAGGAAGCAGGGGCCGGGGATCCTTCCTATCCCGGGCAACAAGGGGGCCTGCTACCAGAAGCAGCAGCAGGGAGCCTGGATCGCCTGGAGGACCCCATGGAGGACCGCATGGCCCGCGTGGAGAGGGCACTCCAGGAGTTACTGCAGAGGCTCCCTATGGGGGGCCCGCCAGCACCAGGACCCCCACGCGTACTACGGGAGGAGAGGCCACGGGACCCGGAGGCCGACCAGCCGGCCGGGCAGGAGCCGCAACCAACCTCGTCACACCTGCAGGTGGCAGGACGGCCGCGTCGGCTGGGGCCCGTCGACAAGTTCGTGGCCGAGGAAGAAGATTGGGAGGGGTTTGTCCGCCGATTCGAGGCTCCCTTCCACGCTCTCGAGTGGACAGATGAAGAGGCACTACGAGCTTTGCCATCCGTTCTGGGCGAAGAGGCATTCTCCTCTTACATCTCCCTTCCCCTTTAGCCTACAGGGGTGCGCTGCTCGTGTTGGCGAGGAGGGCTTTCCCTCGCCTGGCTGAAGAAGCGCTCGAGGACCTCGTGGTCGAGCACCTCATCGCCTACGCTTGCCGCGCCGGCGTTATAATGCCCGTGGTGACGCTGGAGGAACGCACCTCGCTGTGGGCTGCCCGGACCATCCAAGCCCACGAGTAGGTCATGGGCTGGGTGCCACCCGTGGGCCGGGTGGCTGGCGCGGCGGGGGGGAACAGCCGAGCCGTTGCCGCGGCACTACTGGGTCCAGCGACACCAACCGCCGAACCTGCACCGTCGCCACAGGCTGCCTGTGGGGCAGCTGGGAACGGACCCCTGACGTCTGAGCTGGAGCCATCGCTGTGGGAGGTGTACGCGGCGATCCGGGGACTTGCGGAGCAGAGGGACCAGGGGCGCGACCAGCCGCCGCGTCGCTGGCAGCCGCCTCTACAACATCGCGCCGAGCCACCCCGACGGAACGCCCCGTGGGTTTGCCACCGTTGTGGTCGAGAGGGGCATGTGGCGAGGGGGTGCCGCATGGAGCCGGAGGCCGCCAACGCCACCTGGAACCCGCCGGGGCCGAACGCCGACAGGATCCAGGCGAGTGACGCCGTCCCGCCCGGCCTCTCGGTCGGGCCGAGCAATTACAACCTCGACGCCGCGAACTCACCAGGAGTCTCCTCGGGGTGGGCGCCATCGGTGTCGTTCCCCGGTCCCCACTGTCCTGGTCGGGGGAAGGGGATCGCGCCGAGGATAGCGCCGGGGCCGGTGATCGCGTCGCGACCAGAAGTGGCGTCGCAACCAGAAGTGGCGTCGCGAACGGACGTGACGTTGCATCCGGAAGTGACGTCGCGGCCGAAAGTGGTGTCGCGGATCGCGCCGAGAATTGCGCCGGGGCTGAGGACCGCGCCGGGAATCGCGCCGAGGCCGAGAGGGACGTCGCGACCGGACGTGTCGGCGCGACCGGACGTGGCGTCGCGGGCGTGAGGTCACGGGCGGAAGTAAGGTCGCGGGCGGGAGTGACGTCGCGGGCGGGAGTGACGTCGCGGGCGGGAGTGACGTCGCGGGCGGGAGTGACGTCGCGGGCGGGAGTGACGTCGCGGGCGGGAGTGACGTCGCGGGCGGGAGTGACGTCGCGGGCGGGAGTGACGTCGCGGGCGGGAGTGACGTCGCGGGCGGGAGTGACGTCGCGGGCGGGAGTGACGTCGCGGGCGGGAGTGACGTCGCGGGCTGGAGTGACGTCGCGGCCGGGTGTGGCGTCGGGGGCGGGCATGGTTCCGCGGGCGAACGTGACGTCACAACCGGAAGTGTCGTCACCAGTTACCTGCGACGCCGGCGAGTTGCCAGGAAG